CTTTTTGTTTTTCACAATGATCACCCAAAGGAAAAATGAGAAGCAAAACAAAACACTATCTCCATTTAAGAAACCATTTTGGTCTCTTCTAATTTTTTTTTTTCTTGACTGAGTCAGAAATGGTAGCTTCAGCTTGGTCCTTGGTTTTCCAGTCTCACATCTGTGAAAGAATGGATTTGTTCTAGGCCCAAATCACAGCTTATGCAATCCTTCAAGTAGAGCCAACCAAATCTTTGTGTTAGACAAGCTATTCTGCAGTCTTTGGGGATAGTTCCCAACTCTCTTTTAGCTAAAATAGACCTGGTCTGACTTCTCACAGTGGGACTTGAGTTATGGCTCCATCATTCTTGTCCCCTTAGTGATGATGTCTCCTTGTGGGAAGAGAGCAGGAGCCCACAGGGAGAAGAGCAATAGAAATTACCAAGTGGTCATCAGCATGACTGCAACCCTGAAAGGTAGGATTCCAGAAAAGTAGGAAAGAAGAGAAGGAGGTGAACACCAGCAACTTGAGAAGACAGAGCCATCTGGGAACTGGAGAACATGAGGAGCACCTGAGGAAGGGCAGGCATGGAAAGGGAGGGTGAAGCCGGGAAGAAGAAATAGGAGCAGGGAGAGGCAGCAGCCAGGCAGGAAAATGAGACGCTGTAAGGAAAGAAGGCAGAAAGCATGCTAGGTGAAAGAATTGTTTCTAGAACAGAAGTTACACCAAGTTCTGCCTCTGACTCTCTGGMCATATTTTCTGTCTCAATTCTTTTTGTTTTTAAAGGGGGCCTTCTATAGTAGGGCTTTAGAATGAGACACATCAAGGAACGGATTGGAAAAATCTTCCTGTGGCTTCAGGTGGCTATTTATGAAAGGTGAGCCTAACTAATCTGCCCATTTAGTTCTGATCCCAGTGGAAAATGAGGTTGGCTACAAGACACTCCTGCCTTATTTACTCAGCAGGTCTATGCATTGAATTATTTGCATTACAGTCACCAGTGATTGAGCTGCTGACTTCTACAAGAATTTAGGGTTAAAAACAGAAGTAAGCCATATTCTTTATCTGCAAGTTGTTCACAGACCATGGGAAAGACAGACACCTAAAAATAACACTGTGTCAGGAAGTRTTATGATAAAGGTACCAGCAAGGGATATGGAGGGGCAGGAGAGGGATCTTCCAGCCAGTTCCTGATTGATCCTCAATATTTAACTTTATTTTACTTGGAAAGTCCTCTTCCTAACCCTGAACACCCTCCAAGCCACATCTTTTGAAACCTGGACATTCTTCAAATCTGGGTCAAATGCCATTTTCTCAACAAAGTAGTTCGTCATCTTAAAAGCTGTAATTATTCTTTCTCTTCTGTGTTCTTATGTAACACATTATTTATATCTGTTCTGACATTTACCCCAATTTGTTTCTTTCTTTAAAACTATGTTTGGTGTGTGGGGGGATGGATAGATGTATGGATAGACAGATTTACTGATTTCATTACATTGTAAGGTTTTTTTGACTATAGGGTTTGGTTCATCTTTTGGTCTCCCACAGGCCTGAGCGTAGAAGTTTCATAAAATATACTCAGATGGAAGTTCATTTCAGTCAATGAACCTACACATCCCCTTTTAGGATGCTGAATGGACTGGATCCTGCTTCATTTTGGGAAGTTGTGAATCCTTGTTTTTGTTTTAAGGAGACATAAAATAAATGGCCTTCAGACCTAAAAAAGACCAAACCATTCTTTCCATCTCTTTCTAAATTTGGACAAGAAATAGGTAACAAAACAAAACCCTCAAATTAATCAAGTGATTTTTAATCTGGAAAGGACTCTGTCTTTCATTTGATACCATATCTTAACYATGAATGAAGAAACTAAGTCCTGAGAAATTCAGATACTTCTTCAATATCACACAACCAGAATCAACAAGWTTTCCCAACAGATAAAATAGTTTACCTTTAATAACAGAGAAAGAGCATGCTTAAAAGGAAAAGAAAAAGAAATAGCACTAAAATATACAAAGAAAAATAATTMATTGAAAGGCAGTACACATTATAGAAAAATATTTCCCCTCTCAGTCTACCTATCCACAGAAAATATCATGTTTTAAATAATATCAATAAATACATTATGAATACACTTGTAGAGTTTAGAGTTTTAATTTTAAAACCCAACTTTTGCAATTTCCAGATCCTTCAACCATTTGGACATCAAATGGTTCTATGAATTTGTCAATAAGAAGTCTTCTGAGGTTCTTCTCTAAGATATTTCAATATGTTTGAGTGGCACTGGTGATTAACAGGTGTTCTTAACAGTTGCAGAAGTAAAACAGTACATGAGGCTCAGTTGAGAGGTGCACATTCACACATGTTCTCTCCCGTCATGACTTAGGAAAACACAGCAGGTGCACTCAGATCTGACACAGTTCACTCCATTCCAGTTCTGCTATTATTGCCAGAACCCCTGCCTGATCCCTGACCTTTTCTATGTCACTGCTACCCTCTCCCTCTCCTGACAGAGCTGACCTAGTCTTACAGATGCCCTGGAGCAAGTGCACACAAACACACACACACACACACACAAAGTCAAAGCACTAAATTTGAATTTGAAATTGACTGGGCTCCAGTTCTAAATAAAGATCTATCTATCTATCTTTCATCAGATATATAAAATGAATACATCTATCTAGTTAGCTCTACCAATCTGCCTAATCTTCACAGTGATGCATAATCACTCAGATAAAGACCACCTGGTTTTAAAAAGTCTTTTACTCCCTGCAGAGTATGGTCTGTGAACACTGGTTTTCAGTTAGAGACTAGCTACATTACTCTGCACTTCCCAAAGCCCCCTCAAGGGCAAAGGGACAGTGTATTGGTTTTGCAGCTACATACAGGCTTAAATACTAGCTCTGCCACTTAGCAGTTGTGTGATCTTGAGAAAATTACTTAAAATTTCTGGATAATCATTTCCAAACTGATGATGTTAATACCTACTTCATGGAGGTGTAAGGACTTTAGGTTATGTCTGCCTAAAGTTGCTGCATGGCAGAGTTCAGTAGGGAATAGTTATTATGAAGAAGGTGACAACAGGGGGAAGAGCAAGAGAGGAAGAAGAAAGATGATGACCCCACTTTCTGAAAGTCTTCCATATTTCAGAATTTCTCAGCAAGGCTTGGCAGAACTTGAATGCCACCATCTATCTGAGCTTACATATACAGACACTTATGTTCCATCCATTCTTGGGTGAAAAAGACATTTCACAGTAGTGAATTCAGCATGTTTTTCGAAAACAGATCCTCCTGCCCACCCACTTTTGTTTTTTGCTTAGCAGAACTGGACTTCACAAAACAGGGTGAAAAAATTCCTGAGCCCCACATAGCAGCTAATCATAGAATTTCCAGGTACCGCAACAGACCCCAGCTGTTTGCTTCCCCAGCAATTCTAGTAACTGCAAGATATCTTATAGATCACAGAAAAAAGACGCCCAACTCCTTTCTGGAGTTCTGGAGACAGAATTCACAGCTAATCCACTAGCAGAGCTGCTGCTACAGTTTGAGCTATCCAAAGTACAACAAGAAAGGAGGAAGCTTCTACCTAACCCGGACATGCCTGGAATGACAGGGCCATTTATGACCTGCCTCAGATGCCATTCTGCTTGCAAACACACACTGCCCTCCATATCATTCGACAAAATAATTGCACTGGAAAGCCTGAAGGCAAATGACTAATGTTAAAAGTGGCCCATACATCATTTCAGTGATGACTCCACAGGCGTCAATTAAACATGGAAAAGACGTGTTCTGAGGCATGACCATCTGACATTTTCTAATGAGCTGTGTGTAGTCAAATGTTAGTAAATCAGAAGTGATCCTAAGTATAAAGAAAGACAGCAGCCCTCTCCTTGCTCAAAAGCAGGAAGGACCCATGAAGACATCGAACCTGGAAGACCTCCAGAAAACGAGGTGTGCAACGAGCCTGGATGTGAAGTTAGCACTGTTTTTCCTCATGCATAGAAAGCACAAATTGGGGTTGCCTGAGGTCATGTTTTCAGCCACCAAAAAGGCAGACTGCTCCAGAGAATGCTTGATAGTCTGCCTGGTAGTCTAGAGGTGAACTTTAATTGTTATGACTCCAAGTGGGAGAAAAAAATGGCAGTAGTCCACCCTTTGCTCCTTGAATGTTTTCCAAGTTATCAGCACTGTTGGACTTTGCTCACACACTAGGCCAAGTTCACTGTGGTCTAAACATCTGTCCCTAGAAACCATGTTTAATATCCTCTTCAGTGGAAGGAAAAGAACACATTTAACAAGTCTAATGAGACTAATGTCAAGGTATAAAACCCCCAGCGAGGCACAGTGGCTGGAGAAGTGCTTTTCAAGACTGCAGTTCTTGATCAGTCAGGCAGACACCTGTGTATATATAGACAAAGCTTCAAACACCACCACCTCATCACACCTAATGACTACCTGTGATGATAGCTTGCAGTCCCTATTTCTGGCCTTTCCAAAAACAACAAGAACACAAATATGTGTCTTTATACTCAGTCCTGATTCTAAACCTATTCTGTAATGTTTATCTGTTTTTTTTTGTTTTTGTTGTTGTTGTTATTTGCTTCTCTAATATGAGAAAGGAAATATTTTTCAGTTTTAATTTTGATCCAGTTCTAAAATTGTTGATGACTTTTTAATCATTACCCTTGATTTCTCCTTTTTTTTTTTTAGTGATTCAAGTAAGTGCACCCCACACATCCCCTGGCCCCAACATTAAGGTTAATATTCATAGAATGAGGCTATCAAAAACAAAACCAACAAAACCAACAGTGCCTCCTTTCTCATGAGTCCTCTTTGCCAATGATGCAGTGTTCTTAAATCTCTTTACAGCAGCTGCTTCAGTGTTAAGTTTTGGGTTTGGAATAAAAGGGGTCACTGACAATTATTTTCTCAGCACAATGGAAAAGCAACCCAACCCATTAACACTAAAATGGCAGAATTCAACACAGTGTGAACAAGTAGGAATAGAAGAATACCTGGGATTGCCAGATTGGAAAGGGGGACGTTGTGGAGGTGAGGGGGGAGCGAGGCCATCCAGTCGGCATTGCAGACGTCTGAAGCGGTCTTTGTCCCGCTGGGGTTGGGGGAACAGATGGTCCCCATCCTGAGTTTCCTCCTTGCCTTTCTAACTGCTAGCATCCCTTTGGATCACAAATTGGCCAGGTTCAGCCCAGTGACACTTACTGTTCCAGCACTCTAGACATTTCAGGGCCACTTTTGTCACGCCAGTCTTTCCAAAATGCCTTTCAGGCTGGGAGAGGGGTCAAAGAACCGGTTCTTTACCCCCAGCGCCCACAGTCCCCACCCTTTCGGCTCTTTCTCTGTTCCACTCCTTTAATCTTCTCAGTCCCAGCTCCGTTAAACTTCTTACGTTCCCCTCTGGAGAGAGGGGTGGTAGGCCCCTAGAAATAAATCTTATAGAAAAGGAAGGTCCCAGGAGCAGCCACGCCCAGAGCTACTCACACGACAGGTGCCCACACGGCATGCTGACTTGCCTAGGGGTCTGCACACATGGGCGCCCCCGGGCGCTCCATCTCTAGCCGGATTTATGCTTCTGTGTATGTCACTGGGCTGTGCATAAACGGGGCCTGCCTGCTACTCGCTCCCGGGTCCTCAGGCCGGACGCCGCCCGCCCTGTGGCTTCCTGAAAGGCACTCACAAGAGTAACCGGCGGCACCCGGACTCCCGGCGGCCCCGCCCGCACTGCCGGGCAGATTTGCCAAGCTACGCGGCCCGTGATTGGCCGCTGGCGCAGCGCGCTCCGATTGGCCGGCGCCCTCTGGGCTGCCCCTCCCTCCKGCTTCCACACCTCCCTTGCTCCCAGGTCTCCGCCCTCCGCTACTCCGGCTTTCCTGAGTGTAGACCGCTGCCTCCGCAGCTACTGCGGACGTGGAGATTTGCAGGCTTTGGGCAGTGGGTCCTCAGGTCTTCTTCAGCCTTTCACACCGCCAGCACTCAGGTGTTCAGCGAGACCACAAATGTTTCTCTACATCCTGCCCCCCCCACCCCGCACACATTCGAGTTGGTGACAATTACCCACAAAGTATTACATTTCTGTAAATCACAGTAGCAGCAGAAATAGGAGAGGCTCAGAGGCCCAAGAAGCCGAAAAAGATGCTGTATCTCATATTTAGATGAAAATATCAAGGATGGTTTGTGTTTCAAGCATTACATTATTAAGATTCTCCTACACAATACTTAGCAGCCGATCTGCACTAGGAAGAAATAAATGATATTTCACATTTGTATTGCTCGGTTGTTTGAACCTTCTTTTAAATTATTTGTCCCATTTTCTCCTCACAGTACCCGAAGGCAAGGAGGATTGCTGGTATGCTTCCCTTAACAGATTAAATAGTCCGGGAGCAGGTCATGCACTAGAACTATTTGCAAATTTCATTTTGGAATGGGGCCCTGTAGCCGGGAGGTCTGTAGACATACAGATGCGTTCCCCTGCTTTCTGCAGTGTCCCTATTACTTCAAACTTATTTATGATGGGGTCTTTAGAKTCTCTACCGATATGAGAACTTTGCATACCGAAAGTCACAGAGACATTTTGGCAAACAAGCAAATTAAGAAAAGCATCCTGGTCTTGATAGTAGGGCTTTGGAGAGCCTTGGTCAGGCAGATTCTCAGTGACTCAGGAGAACCTTGAGGGAAGAGAAAACAAAGGCCTGAAATCACCCAAAGGGAAGACTGCAGGCTCTTGTACAGATCTGTAGATATATTATATCTGACTCACTCTCTCTCTCTCTCTCTCTCTCTCTCTCTCTCTCTCTCTCTCTCTATATATATATATATATATATATATATATATATATTTGTATATATATATATATATATTTGTATATATATGTATATATATATATATATTTCTGATATATGTAAATACGTATTTTTATATAGATACAAAATTCCCAAACACAAAATATATGGAAGCCGCATAAGGCAAACAAATGTGTTATTTAACCTCAACTGTGAAATGCTTATCTTAAAGCCTTTTTTCCCTTGCATTTTTCAGCTGTTAACGGAAGGAGGGAGCATATAAGATAGCATCAAACTTTGGAGACTTAAAAGGCATTACTGAGTGAAAACTAGAAACRAAGAGAAGTGGAACTCCCTCAGAATGAGCTGGTTTGCACCTCTCTGAAATTAGAAGCTAACCTATTTGATTTGACCAAGAAACAGTTCAAAAGGAGGCCAACACTCTTCCTGAGTCAGTCCTGGAAAGAATCTTGAAGATGAAAAGAGCATCTAGTATAATAGTTGGCATATAGAGGTGCTCAAAAAATATTTATTGGAAGGAGAGAGGTGCTCTTGAGACATGCTCTGCTGGGCTTTAGGTATTACCTAAAAGCAGTGTTTTTCAAAATTAAAGGTCCAAATTAATCACATTTTTCTTAAATAGGCATGAAATGCCCTGGGTAGTCTGCATTTCTAACRAGATTCCAGCTGATGCTGATGTGGCTGGATCAGACTATACTTTGAGAATGAGCTCAATTTGATAGATGAGGGTATCCACAGCTTCTTCTCCCTTTTCCAAGGTTTCAAAAAAAATATATATATATATATATAACTTTTGTAATTAAAAATAAATGTACATTAAAAATTCAGACTAATGAGCAGAGGCTGGGGCTCAGCGGTAGGCACTTGCCTGGCATGTGTGAGGCACTGGGTTCAATTCTCAGCACTGCATGCAAATAAATAAGTAAATAAATGTCTACCAACAACAAATAATATATATTAAAAAATCCAGACTAACAATCTCTAAGAGAATAATTTATCTGTCACATTATATAATGAAAATTAACATATTAATGGGATTTTACTACTGTACCACAGATGTTCAAGAAAATATTTTAAAATAAAATTAGTATTTAGAATTTGAATAGTTAATATTTTTGTATACTATACCATAAACATTGTCAATGAGAAAAGAAATATATTAATAAGAGGAGTGAAATTTTAAAGCAATTTGATGTTAATGAATAATTGCAACAAAATGGAGTGTTTGGCATGTACATATTATGCTAGTTGGTGCTAAGARTGGAAGGAAAGTTAAATTATCCTCAGATCTATAAGCCAATAGAAATGGGAGTCAAATATGTGAATTTCCAATTGCAATGTACAGCAAAATAAATAGAGAACAAGACATATGAAGATAATGTAGAGGTGTACATTTTGATGGGGGAAGAGCTAGAGGAGAAGTCATTCAAGCTAGATCTTGAATTCTGATCATGGAAAAATAGGTGGTGCACTATGCTGTGGGAAAGGGAGATGGAGCTGAGAAAACCGAGGCAAAGCTAGGACAATCAGCAGCAGATGCAAGAAACAGAGAGCATGCTAGAGCGGCACATGGGATAACACTTCTACTCTCATTTCCCCTTCACAAGAGCCCTGGGAGTTAAGCACTGGTGCTATTCCAGGGCTTACAGGCCACATAACCCTGCCCAAGATCTCACAGCTAATTCGTGGGAGAGCCATGACTCCAAGTGTCTCCCCTGCTGTGCCAAGGACTTGTGAGTGTATGTTACCTGTTATTACTATAAACCACACAGAGGGTGTTTATGACCAAATTGATTAAAGAGTTTGGCCTTTTTCCTTTTCTATGATAAAAGGGACCATTGTAAAGGGGAGTAAAGGGATTCACATTTTACTTTAGGTGGGATTGTCCTATAGAATGGGAAATGGTCAAGGAGACAAGAGTCTTTCAGGTAAATCATTGAAATCAATTATCTGTGAAAAAGATGTGAGAAAGCATGTGAAGGGCCTGACACCAGCTGAGTGGTCTTCTTTCACTCTGGTGCTTCCCTCTCTCTTCACTTCCAAGGGCCCACAATTCTAGGACCTGAGTGCAGCCTGAAATGAAGTTTCATCATTTGAAACCTTCATCAAACTGTTCATCCACTTTTTAAAATTAATTTTTAAATTTTTTTTAAAATTTTAATTTGTTATATATGACAGCAGAATGCATTACAATTCATATTATACATATAGAGCACAATTTTTCATATCTCTGGTTGTACGCAAAATAGAGTCACATCCTTCATGTCTTCTTACATGTACTTAGGGTAATGATGGCCATCGCATTCCACCATCTTTCCTACCCCTATGGCCCTTCTCTTCCTCTCCTTCCCCCTTTCCCCTTTGCCCTATCTAGAGTTCATTTAATCCCCCCCCTCAGCATATTATGAATCAGCATCCTTAAATCAGACAAATCATTTGGCATTTGGTTTGGGGGGGTTGGCTCATTTCACTTAGCGTTATATTCTCCAGCTCCATCTATTTACTTGATTTCCATGATTTTATTCTCTTTTAATGCTAAGTAATATTCCATTATGTATATATACCACATTTTCTTTATCCATTCATCTACTTAAGAGCATCTAGGTTGGTTCCACAGTTTATTGTGTGGATTGTGAATTGTGCTCTATAAACATCGATGTGGCTGTGTCCCTGTAGTATGCTGTTTCAAAGTCCTTTGGGTATAGATTGAGGAGAGGGATAGCTGAGTCAAATGGTGGTTCCATTCCCAGTTTTCCAAAGATTCTCCATACTGCTTTCCATATTGACTGCACCAATTTGCAGTCCCACCAATAATGTATGAGTGGACCTTTTCCCCACATCCTTGCCAACACTTATTGTTGTTTGTATACTTAATAGCTGCCATTCTGACTGTAGTGAGATAAAATCTTAGAGTAGTTTTTATTTGCATTTCTCTAATTACTAAAGATGTTGAACATTTTTTCATATATTTGTCACTCATCCGCTTGTATTATATACAATCAAATTCATTTCTATAAATGCATTCAAATATTTTTTTTCTGGTTTGTTACCTCTATTGGTTGATGACCTTACTGGATTCCCAAAGAGTTGATTGGAGCATTAGCATTTACCAACTCCTTAGAGGCTACATTATTCATTGAAGAGTCTATGTTTTAAAACTGGCTTGTTTTGTTTGAATTCATGCCATAAATGAATAATGAGGGTCCTAAAGCAAGTACCCAAACAGCTTACCATTCAGGCAAGTCTGGTTGGCAGGATAAGCTGGCCTGGATTTTACTTGATTGAAGGTCTCAAAGGTCCTCAAAGGAAGTATATTAAGTTAGTGATGCTGAAGTTGGGGCTGTCTTTGACCCTAGAGCAGAGACCCTATATAAGTCTTATCTCCTGATTGTGTTCTAGATGGGCCGGAACAGACCCCAAACAGAATCAGGACCCAGGCACATTCGGTCCAGGGACATTGGCTGGAACTGAGTGAAGCTTTATGATGCTTTCAATTCCACAGTGATGTCTCATCCACACTATTTTATTCCTGGCTGTGGGGTGGGGTGAGGGTAAGGGATTGAAATGAGGTGCCAGGTTATGAAAGATGAGATGGAATTTTAACTGATTTATTTTGTGGCTTCATCTCATCAGAGTCTATTCTTAGTTAACCCCAGTTTCCTTCTCCTAGTTCAAATTAAAAAATGGTGATAGGGTAGAATGAAGAAATGGCTCCAACATGGGTGGTGCTTGGGGACATGACAGCAGTAGTAATTACCCCCAGGAAGAGTGACATCATTGCATCACCAGGGGACCTTCAGGAACCTCCAAGGTAAAGGCGGTACTAAGGCACACTGTCTTGTGAACACGTGATACACTGGAGACCCTGCACACATTCCCATCCAGGAAGCATTTGGGATGCTGGGAT